TCTGCCTTGTACTTTGCTTGTGCTCCCATGAGACCTAAGAGTGAGCGATGTTCTCAGTTCTAGAGCCAGCCCCTAGTGTCCCCTGAACCCCATAAGAATGTCCCTATGGCCAAGTTAGTTTGTGGCTCTGGCAACAGGGACTGAGAGATAGGGTTCATTGGAGGGAGACCCTACTGCACTTCTCTTGGGGCAAGTACATACTGTTAGCTCCAGGTCCTTCTGCCCTGAGCCTTTCTGCTCTGATGGGAGCCCTGGGGCCTAGCAGGCTGAGAGCCAGAGCTGTTAATCGCAGGTGGTGAGATCCATAGGGACCTTGGTCACAGCCCCCAGTGGGAGCAGCCGTCTGTGATTCCACGTAGTACAGGGAGGAGGGATAAAGAGCAAAGGGGGAGAAGGAAAAGGGGAGTAAAGGAAGAGGAAGGAGGCAGAGGGAAATGAAGGGGCCGAGGATTGAGGGAAGGTGTCAGGTAGCAGCGGCATCCCCTGCTAAAATGATAAAACGATACATCCAAATCCCGACTCCCTAGGAACTGTGAATGTGGCTTATTTAGAAATAGGGTCTTTGCAAATGTAACTAAGTAAAGGCCCTTAAGTTGAGATCCTAGATGTAGGATGGGCCCTAAATCCAATGACTGGTGTTCTAAGAGAAAGGAGAGGGGAGGTGACACATGTAGATACAGAGGGGAAAGCCACTTGAGGACAGAGGCAGGCAGTGTAGTGATGTACCCACAAGCCACAGAAGGCCAATGTTGTTGCCCAAACCCCCAGAAATCAGGAGAGAGGTATGGGTGAGATTTTGCCTTAGTGTTTCCAGAAAGAACCAACCCTGTCTACCTATACCTAGATTTCAGACTTCTGGCCTCCGGTAAGAGAACTTATTTCTGTGTCTTAAGCTATTCAGGTTGTGGTAATCTGTTTTGACTGTCATGGAAAACTCAGGGGAGAGGGATAAGTAGAGGGAGAGCAGTAGGAAGAAGGGGTGGGAGGAGCAGGGTGGAGGCAGTCCCAGGGCAGGGAAGATTTGTTATTCTGAGAGTAGCTCCATGTGCCTGGAGTGTGGAGAATGAGGGCCAAGGAGGGTGTGATGGGAGGTGAGCCTCAGACAGCAGGCCAGTCTGGGAAGGACTTTGAGTGACAGTCTCATAAGTCAGGGCAGGGTTGGATGAACCACAGCATGTGGGCCAAATCTAGCCTGACCCATGTATTTTTTAAATAAAGTTTTATTGGAACATAAATCTACCCATTTATTAGCACACTGTCTGTAGTTGCTTTCCAGCTCTGATGGCAGAGTCAAGTAATTATGACAGAGACCATCTGGCCATCAAAGTTTAAAATTACAATCTGGCCCTTTGCAGAAAAACTGTCCTCTGTTATAGGATATTCTTCAAAAGCCAAGGGTCCCACTGTGTCCCTGCCCTGCTCCACCTGACAAGACAGGCAGAAGTCAGCACTGCCCTGAGGTGGTGTTGCCAGGGATGCTCATGGCTGCTGGTCCCGTGCCGGCTGCAGGTGGGCAGTCACTACGTCTGGTTTTAAGCACCTTCATCTGCTCAGCCCCCAGCCTGGCCCAGAGTAAGCACTCAGCAGTTGCACACTGAATGAATGAATGGCTCACAAATGGGTGAGGGCTACACCTGGGTTCTCTGCAGGTCAGGCAATCCACACTAGTATCCCCACTGGGTGTTCTCTTCCCTGCCCATTTTCTCCTCCCCTTTCCTCCGGGGATCATGTTTTCCCCACAGAGGATTATCAGTGAGAGAGGTGCAGGGATGATCTCTCTCCCCTCAGGGTTTGAGCCCCTGGTACAAAGAGCTTTCTTCTGACTGGGCCTCTCTTGACTATGGAGAGAGCAGGCACCTGGGCTCAATGTCCTTTCAGATGGGAGACCTTCTTGGATTTTCCTATTGACTTGAGACTTGCAGGGTCCAACTCATAGATCACGAGGGTCTCCACAAGGGAAGATCTGGGGAGGAATGTTGGTCCCCACCATGAGAAACATCACTCTAGCTTTAGAGCTTAGACAACTGGCCTGGCTCTAGCTCTTGAATATACTGGCTCTGCAGCTTGGAACAAGCCACTTGACCTCTTCAAGTCTCACCCTCCATCAAAGACCACCTCCTTAGACCACTAACATCAGAATCCTTTGGGAGATCTTGTTAGGATGCAGATTCTGGGTCCCTCCCCTAGACCTGGAGTCAGAATTTTGGATGCTGGGCCTGACATGCTGCCTTTTAATAAGCTCCTGGGTGTGATGGCAGCAGGGTGATGACAGTGGAGCCACTAGGTGAAGCCCTTGAGATGTCTAGGGGAGATGAAGGTGAATTCATTCTCCCATGGTTATTACGGGCTCGGGGAGGGCACTTCTCCTTCTGGTCCTGTAGCCCTTCCCTGAGGGGTCCTACACTGGGGAGGAAATAGGACAGGGGCATCAGACAGCAGCCACCAGCCCTGAGGTAGGCATGGGGTCCTCCAGCCACTGATCCTGCCCTCCCCAGCACTGTGGCCACCCTTTTTGAAGGAAGGAAGATTCTGTCATGCAAAATGACCACAAAGGAATCTCCCAAGGCTTTTTTTTTTTTTTTTTTTTTTTTGTTTGAGACAGAGCCTCATGCTGTCCTCCTGGGTAGAGTGCCGTGGCACTTAGCCGGTTGAGCTATAGGCTCCGAGCCACCAAGGCTTTTTAGCAATGAATTTGTTGAGTAGGTCATAGCATGTCACTAGGAGAGACCTTAAAGATGGTCTAGCTCTGTTCTTTCATGTTACAGGTGGAGAAACTAAGCTGCTAGCAGGCTTGAGTCCATCCTGTGTGTTGATGCCAGATCTGGGCTCCACATTTCTTGGAGTCCCAGCCTTTGTCACTTGGCATGTTTCACAGACTCCAGTTCAGGGCAATTCTGCAGGTTACTTTGCATCCCATTTGTATTCTTATCTGCTTAGCACATTCCCAAGTAGACTTTGTTGTTTGACTTGAATAAACACATTTGTTTTAAAAGACAACCTCATATCATGACCATAAATGTTAGCCAGTCTCTTTTGTCATAAATAGAAGGTAAGTGTAGAAGGAATTAGAGAACTGTTGACCTAAATAATCTTTGCATACTCCCCAAAGTCATCTTAAGAATTGCCACTGGGACAGTCACCAAGCTTTTGGAAATGCTGAGTTACAGCACAGTGGGAGACTATGCTGTAATTTATTTATTTTATTTTATTTTTTTTTTTTTTGAGACAGAGCCTTCAAGCTGTCCCCCTGGGTAGAGTGCCGCGGCATCACAGCTCACAGCAACCTCCAACTCCTGGGCTCAAGCGAGTCTCCTGCCTCCACCTCCCAAGTAGCTGGGACCACAGGCGCCCGCCACAACGCCCGGCCATTTTTTGGTTGCAGCTGTCATTGTTGTTTGGCGGGTCCGGGCTGGGGACTCGAACCCGCCACCCTAGGTGTACGTGGCTGGCGCCCCAGCCGGTTGAGCCATAGGCGCCGAGCCTATGCTGTAATTTAAACCATGTCCAGGAAAAATCCAGAGGGGATGGGCTCAGGCCACCAGGGTCCAATTCTAGTGCTAGCTACTCACGGAGTTTTTCTGGGGATTTATCTTCTGTTCTTGGTTTCACTGTCTTGGTGGGCTCACAAGTGTGACAAGGACGAGAACATTGCCATGAAGTGCTATGAGAGGCGTAGGGCACTCTCCAAGGTTACAACTGCTGTTTTGACCAGCGCTTGCTGGGGGCTGCTCTACGTCCAGCCTGCTAGCTGACATGGTACATGCCAGACTCTTCCATGGAGGACTGGGAAGAATGGCTTCCTTCCTGCTGCCGACTGCTATCAGGCTAGGGGCAGGGAGGGGTCTCTCTCTCTCTCATTGTGACGCACAGGGTGAACGTGGGTTTATGTAGCTGCTGCAGAAGGCTCAGGTTAAACCCCCAGTGGAATTTTCTGTGAATGTTCAATTGACTGGAAGATGTTAATGAACTTCCAAAAGTTAAGCTGGAGACCCTTTCCCGTTGATAGGTGCAGCAATAGGGAAACCTTCCTAGGTCTCCCCCCCAACACCGTGGCCCCTTCCTGCTGAATCATCACCCTCTGTGGGAGACTCAACTAGGGGAGGGGGTGGGGCTCTGTGGATGGCAGGTGATGATGTCCAGGGCTCCCCGAGCTTCCTTTCCAGCATTTTCTTGGATTAAAGGGGTGCAAAGGAGAACTGGGAGCCTCATGTGAGATAATCCAGGCTCAAATGGCCCTTGAGACTGCTCCAACATTTCTTTTTCCCTCACCCCATGTGTTTCACTGAGCATGCGGCTGAGTCTAGAGAGGACAGGGACTTTCCTGGGGTCACACAGCAGGCGAGGGCAGAGCTGGGACTCACAGCTTACAGTTCCTGACTCTCAGCAGGGCATGTGTGTTCACCTCAACACCCTAATGCCACCTTTTCCCCTTCCTCAAGGCAGCTCTCGAGGAGGGCCCTGTAATCTATTTGGTCACTGTTATTTGGGGACATGCCTGGGGTTGGTCAGTGGCTGGTGCAAGGTAATTAGGGTGGGTGGCCCCTGGAAGTTGTGCAGGCTTAGGAGAAGAAGTTTGTACTGCACCTCGCAGGGGATTTGGGGCAGTGGGGCCAGGTCCTGCTCACCTGCTGTGTAAGTCGGGGACATGATCTACCTTTTCTCTTTGACAGATGAGCTTCCTCCTATGTCTGGTTATGATAATCGTGCCTTTTACTAAAATTAAAGGACTGTCAATGCTGAATAAGGGGTAACAAGCGTTCTTAACCAGGGCCTGGTTACAGGAATGAGCCTGGGTCCCTGTGTTCGGTACACCACTGAGCCTCTGTGTCTGCATCTGAAAAAACCCAGCTTTGGCTTTGATGGAAAGGAATAAAGGCAGCCAGCCCAGAGCCTGGCCTCTGTCTGAATTTTACTGTCTTCTGTTGTATTGATACAGACAGTGCAGCTTTCTCTCTGCCTGAGCCCAGGGAACAGAAAAAAAATGACTAGAAGACACTTACCTGGGGGCTGGTCCTGCACGGTCCTCTCCAGCCTGGCACCTGCAGCTGCTGCGTGCCCAAAACTCTCTCCACCTGTCCCTTCTGGCTTGACCACTTCATTCCTCCTTAGGATGGCCTCGATGGAGAAGGACAGGCCCAGCTTCTTTGGGGCCTCACAGCACCCTGAATTCTTGCTTTCCATCAGCCTGCAGGGAGCAGGGCCCACCTTGGCACCCTTGGAGGGGTGGAGAGGAGACTCTGCGTGGGCCCAGGACAATGTCTGCGGAGGGCTGCGTTCTTCCTCCCCCAAATCTCCTGGGATGAAAGGGGTCCCCAGAGGTGGAGAAGGAAGAGTCTCCAGTCGGATTATGTGAGTGGGATTCTGTCTCCACAGTGGCTTCCATGGGCTACTTTAAAACACTCCTGGGATACAGGGGATGACAGACGAGCTGGAAGGTGCTGTGTCCTGGGCCCACAGGCTCACAGCCCTCACCAGCTTGACCTCAGACTCTTGCCCCCATGGCTAACGTGGGCTCGGTCTTCCAGAGAACGGTCTTCTCAGAGGTAGTCGCTTTCACAATCACTAGCCTAGGCTGGGGTCTCTGAGGTCACTTCCCAGCAGGGACAAAGAGAAGGGGGAAGGACAGTAAAGGGGCCACACGGAGGAGCTCTGTCCTCCGCAGAGGTCTGATGCTGTGTGTGCACCTTGGCTCTTTCTCTGCCTCGTGGCCCTCTCCCACACACTCTGGCCAGCCTCTGGGAGGTTCGCGTGCCACCCTTGGGCCCCGGCTGCCAACTCAGCCCTGGGATGTGCTAGAGCCTGAGCGTCTTCCCAGAAGCCCTCCTGGACTTCCTGCAGTTCCGCTGCCCCGGAATCCAGCACGTGCCTTCTGGCTCATTGGTTCTCCTGCTGTCCTGGGGTTCAGGCTGTGGGAGGTGGTCCTTGGGTGCCGCCAGGCCTGTCTCCTCTCCTCTCTGGGACTGGAATGAACTGTGGGGTCTGATCCTCTTCAGGGGTCTGTGGCTGGCCCCGGCTTTCCGCTGTTCTCCTCTCCTGGACCTTACTTCACAGGCCGGGCCCTCTCTCCGCGGGCTGGGGTGCCTCTCCCTTCCTTGTGGGGTCCTTCCTTTTTCTTTCCTGACTGCAAGCCACTCGCCTGTCTCCTGAGACAGCACTGAAGGGACCCTTCTCGCATTGGCTGGGAGGTGACCGTTGTTGATCTGTCCTTGCCAGGAATCCTGCTCTGAATGACTGTGTAACCAAGGAGGAGGGGACAGTAAAATGGGCTGATAAGAGAAGGAACTCTCCACGCCCTTCCAGGCCAGGGATGCAGGTGTCAGGGTGCAGAAGGGGCAGGTGGCATCTGAGTATACCTACCGGCTAAGGAGGGGAGGCTGTCTGGGGAATTGGACAGTCTCAGGTAGAAGGGAAAAGGTAAAGGCAGAATGGCCCGGAAGTGCACCCAGCCCCAATAAAATGTGTTTACTCAGCTCAGAGAGTTTATGGGTCACGTACAGACGGGAGGTTGGGCCAGGGTGCAGTCCGCTGGGTGTCGGCCGGGCATTCCCTCTCAGGCTTGCTTTCGCTGGCTTGCAAATATCAGAACAGGAAAGGCCTTCTGAGGCCCGTGTGGCATACCTGGGGAAATGTAGTCCTTGTATGTACTATTTGCCCTTGAGACCTGCGTTTGATGTGGCTTCCTGAGGGAACTAAGATGCCTCAACCTGCCAATCTGAGCTTGTGTTTGACGGATTCTTTTTCACCCTGGATTCTGTTGAGAGCATTCAAAGCCCTCCCATAGTCTGCCAGGCCGTGAAGCCCCCTTGCTTGGGAAAGAGATCTTTTCCCTCCAAGCAGGGTGGACAGAATGTGGAAGTGTCCTAAAAGGGAGAGCAGCAATTCCCAGAGCACAGGAAAGAACACGGAACAAACCCTGCTTGGGTTCTGACAACCAGAGAGCCTGGACTTGACTCTGTGTTGACTCCATCCCTCCGGTTGGTCAGTCTGCTTAGACCTCGGGTTGTGTGTGATGGTTAAAAATCCCCTATTTACATCACCAGCTTCAAGTTAGTCCTAATAATCTCCAAAGGCCAGAAAGTCAGGATTGGTTAGGATTTTCAGAGCCCTGTTACAGTACCCTGGGGTAGGGCTATTTTCCTACAGATGGTCTCCTATGAACAGATGCAGCAAGCTTAGAGGAAAAGTCCTCACCGACGGATTTATAAAGCAATAAGTGTTAGTGCAGGGCATGAATCTGGGGAAATTTTCCATTCAATCTGTCACTCAGTAAACATTCATTTGGAGCCTACCATGTATCAGACACTAGGCTGAGAAGAAGAGAGATTTTGAATAAGAGTCTTGTGACTTCTGCCCTGATGTGGTCATAGATCAGAGCGGACGCTGGCAATAAAGTGACAGACAAGTGCTAAAATAATTACAAATTATGGTAAGTAGTTTGAAGGAGTCGGTGTTGTAAATTGTATTATGTCTAGCTTTTCTTATTTATTGCTATATTTAGGAAGGCGATTTTCAGGCAGGGACAAAGCGATAATATTCCTTCCACCTTAACCCTTGGCATCACCACGCTTAAGGCTGTGAATTTGTGGTTGTATCTCAAAGGATGCAGCTGTCAAGAGAAGGGAAATGGGACTTTCGCATTGTTGGAAGTTTTGTGAGAATCTCTTGAACTGCCAGAGATACCTTGGGTTTATTCCCTTACCTGTTGTTGACAGGATGGTCAGCCAGTTACAACTGGCTTTGTTAATTTCAATTTGTGTAAGTGTGGATTTTGTCATTGTAGTTCCTGGCTTGGTAGAGAACATCAGAAAGAAAAATATGAACTAGCAAACAAAGCAGTAAAAAGATTTCTTTAGTTATGGCCAGGCTAGCGAGCTGATGTGTGGCGAGAAGTTTGGAGACAGCACCATAGTTAGTATGCAATTCCACTGGTTTTCGACCTTTTTCATCTCACAGCACACTTGAATCCATAGTTAAACTTCCATGGCACACTTAAATTATGTTGATTAAAAAAAAGAGTGAAAAAAGGAATATACTTACTGTGCTTTGAGCTTATTTCAAAAATAATTTAATTGATTTATTTTTTTTGAGACAGAGTCTTTTATGTCGCCCCCTGTAGAGTGCTGTGGCATCACAGCCCATAGCAACCTCAAACTCTTGGGCTTAAGTGATTTTCTTGCTTCAGCCTCCCAAGTAGCTGGGACTACAGGTGCCGGCCACAATGCCCAGCTACCTTTTTGTTGCAGTTGTCATTGTTGTTTGGCAGGCCTAGGCTGGGTTTGAACCTGCCACCTCCCTTGTATGTGGCTGGTGCCCTAGCCGCTAAGCTACAGGTGCCAAACCAGAATCACGATATTCTTGGGGAACGTCCTTGTGGAGCTGTATGGATTGGCCTTGGGGAAGCCCTGTGTGGCAGTTTCCCTTCTTTAGAGGGTTTTTTCCAGGAAAATTCCAGATGAGGCAGTCAGCTTGCAGGGCTCATGCTTAATCTCTTGGTTCCCACTCACCTTGGTGAGATGAGAGGCCCTGAGGAAAGGACTGCCTGAGGGCATCTCCCATCTGAGGTCACTGCACATCCCCAGCTGTGTGATTCTGTGGCTTAGACTCACCCAGGGAGAACTTTCACCACATTCCCTGTGGCAGGGCACCACAGTGCTATCAGAATCCCTGTTGGGGATCTCACACACAACTTTAAGCTAATAGGTCCTCAGGGCAGGACAGATTCTGGGGATGGTGACCTGTAGAAGGGATTTAAGAGTATGAGACTTCTGAGGTCCAGTTCCAAATTGAGACCCTAAATCAGTGCTTCTCAAACTCCAATGCTCATCCCAGCCCCCCAGGGTCTTATGAAAACGCAGATACTGATTCCATGTAGCTGTTTTGGGGCAGAGACTTGGCATTTCCAGCATTCTGGGTTATTTGGATGCATCTTGAGTAGCTAAGCCCAGGCTGATATGTAGAATTAAGCACCACAACATTTGAGAAGCATTTCCTTGGGAGGCCTTAACCCTGGCTTCATGTTAACATTACCTGGGTAACATTTAAAAAAAAAACCCAAAACACCAGGGCCAGTCCTCTCCCCTGGAGTCCTTGATTCAATTGGTTTGGGGTGGGACGCAGGTGGCAGGAACTGAGGGTAATTCAGACACTTTAAAATGTGTAGCTGGGGTTAAGAACCCCTGCTAGAGGCTTGTGTTCTTTTAGCTTGAGATCAGCGCTGTTCAATAGAAATATAACGCATGTAAATTATTACCTATTGCTCTGTGACAAATTATCCAACACTTAATATTTAGTATTTCACACAGTTCCTGAGGATCAGGCATCCAGGAGTGGCTTAGCTAAGTAGTTCTGACTCAGGATCCCTCTTGAGATTGTGGCTAAGATGCAGGTTGGGCTGAGCGAAGGTCTGCTTCTAGGAAGGCTCCCTCATCCGGCTGTGGGGAGGGCTCAGTGTTGCTCCTAAAATAGCAGCTAACTTCCTTTGGAGTAAGCGATGAGAGAGGAGAGAGATAGACAGAAAGGCAGAAAAGAGAGAGAGAGAGATTGTAATGTCTTTTATAACTATTATTCCAGATTCTTAAGTGAAACAGAACTAAAAGGATATCTCTATCTCTCTCTATATATCTCTTTATCTATCATCTATTTCTAAAGATCTATGAGGAGATTTATTTTGGCATTTGGCCCATGCAATCACCAAAGCTGAAAGGTTCCATGATGTGCCCTCTGTAAGTTGGAGACCAGAAAAACCAATGGTGTTAAGTTCAGTCCAGGGCTTGAGGACGTCGTTTGAGAACTGGCTGGGGATGGGAATGGGGAGCTGGTACAAGCCCCAGAATCTGAAAGCCCAAGGACCGGGAGCTCCAAAGTCCAAGGAAGGGCAGGAGAAGATGGATTCCCAGCTCAAAAAGGGAGGAAAGGAAAGAGGGACAGAGAGGGAGAAAGTGGGAGCGGGATGGGGGGAGAGGGAGGGAAGGAGAGAGAGAGAGAGAGGGAATTTATCTTTCCTCCACCTTTTTGTTCTGTGTGGGACCTCAGCAGACAGACGGACAGAATGATGGCTGTCCATATTAGAGAGGGTGGATCTTCTTTATCTGCTTTCCTCAGTCCACTGGCCCCAGCGCTGGCCCCTTTTGGAAACACCCTCAAAGACACACCTAGAAGTCATGTTTTACCAGCTCTCTGGGCATCCCTTTACCCCAGTCCAGCTG